GGCAGTGTTGGCACCGGGCTCAGACACTATGCGGGGCACCCGCCCAGCACAGAGGGGGTGCGGGCCATGGGTGCTGCTCCTGCACAAGGACCCCGGGGGTCCCACTCACCGGGTCACCAGCGGGCAGTTGGCTCAGAGGGGGCTCCTCGAGCAGACCCTGGCCTGCACTCCCCCCAGCCCGGCTGTCCCATCGCTGGCTGCGCTTGCTGGCACCGTGGCCTGGGTGGGGAGAAGGCAGGACAACGAGCGTGATGTGGGGTGGCTGAGGAAAGAGGTTTTAAGGAAGGACTGAGGCCCCTTCCAGCCTTTTCCCGCCACGAGAAGCCATGCTTCGTGCCCGCAGGCCAGCCAGCCAGGCATGGAAAGCGTGCCTGTCCCCACGCTCCGGACCTGCTGGCTCCAAGCTGTGACCACTGGGGGGATTTTGGGTCCCAGGCTGCTGGTCCAGCGTTGTATTCCCTGCGGAGACCTGGTCCTGTGGGAGCAGGAGATGTTGCAGAGATGCAGCCAGGATTCAGGGCTTCTCCTGCACCTGGATGAGGGGGCCATGGCCTGACCTGTGCCCACCTTGGCACTAGGGTGATTCCTCTGGCTTGCCCTGAGCACCTCAGCTGCTGCCTGCTTCTTCTCCCACCTTTGGTTCTTCAGCACCTGGAAAAGGGAGCTGGGAGTCCTCCCTAGGGTGATGGAAACCTCCAGCCATGGCATGGCTCCAGGGACACATCCCACCCCCACCATCTCATCCCCCTGCCCTCAGTGCCAAACAACACTCTTGGCACCAGGATAGAGCCTGGACCTCTTCAAACTGGGGGGAGATTGGTGCCACCCTGGTCCCATCTGGTGGCCAGGGGCGTTCCCCCACCTTCAGCTCCTGCAGGGCTCTCCGCAGCTGGGCTATGGCCACCTTCTGCTCAGGGAGGCCAGCTCCAGCCAGCAGCTCCGTCCGCAGCCCTCGGATCTCCCTCCGACGCGCCGACACCTCTTGTGCCGGGTCCCAGAGCGTGGCCGAGATGGTCTTGGCCAACCCCTTCACCCGCTTGGCCAGCCCCAGGGCGGCCAGGAGCTCTTCTTGGGAGGTGTCTGAGGGAGCAGCAAGCCCTGGGCAGTGGCCATGGAGAGCCACCAACACGGGGACATCCCGCAAGGTCAGGGATGATGGGGATGCGCTGGAGTTCAGCTTCCAATGACCATGGGTGTCCTCAGGCAGTGGCCAGGGACTGAATGCCAGTCATGGGGGGATGTGGGGGGAACCCACGGGATGGGGACACCCTGAAGCAGTGTCCCCATCCCAGGGGCTACCTGGCAGTGTCACACATTTTTGCCCCCCTCCGCCAGCCGCTCGATGATCCAGGGCAGGCGTCTGGTGTCGGGTGTCCTGCATGTGGGGCAAGAAATGCCCTGGGAGAGGGCTGGGACCTAACCCGCGGGGGCCCGCGAGTGGGTTGGCCACACTGGGAACAAGTCCACAGTCCCAAGCGGTAGTGGCACCCCCTCGGCTTTCACTGGGGTGTCAGGATCCCTCCTGCTCCACCTCCGTGTACCGAATCCCCCCTGATCCTGTGTCGGGCCCCAGCGAGGGGACACA